AGTCTGGGTGACAGAGTGAGACTCCAACTCAAAAAAATAAATAAAATAAAATAAAATATTTTATTTTACTTTTTAAGAAACAAGATCTCACTCTCACCTGGGCTGGAGTGCAATGACTGGATCATAGTAAACAGTAGTCTCAAACTCCTGGTCTCAAGTGATCCTCCTGCCTTAACCTTCTGAGTATCTGGGACTATAGGTGCATGTCACCATGCCCAGCTAATTAAAACTTTTTTTTTTTTTTTGTAGAGACTGAATCTTGCTATGTTGTCCAGTCTGGTCTCAAACTCCTGGCCTCAAGCAATCCTTCTAGCTTGGGCCTCCCAAAGTACTGGGATTACAGATGTGAGCCACCGCACCCGGCCTCCATTTCACTCTTGACGGGCATTGAGGTCATTTCCAATTGTTTCCCATTGCAAACTCTGCTACAATGAACATCTTTGTGCATATGTGCCAGTATTTCTTTAGATAAATTCCTAGAAGTGGGAGTGCAAGTACTCGGTCAAGTATATGCACATTTTGCATTTTATTGCAAAGACCTGCCAAGTTGCCTTCCAAAAAGTCTCTGCCAATTTATACTACCACTGAGAATGACTGAATGTGTCTGTCTTCCAGCATCTCTTTGCCAACATTAGATTCTGTCAATCTTTTGCATTTTTGCCAATCTGATAAATAGAAAAGGATATCTTGTTTTAATGTGCATTTTCTTGCTGACTGGTAAGACCAAGCATCTTTTCATATGCTTATTTCTTCTGTCTGTTGCCTGTGCACATCTGATGCCCATTTCTCTTTTGGGCAGTCTTTTTCTTTACTGATGTCATACATTCGTGCATTGAACAAATCATAACTGATGGCCTAGTGTATGCCAGGCACTGTTCTAGGCATTTGAGAATAAGCAGAGAATGTGATACAGCCCCTACCCTCATGCAGCTCACATTCTAGAAACAGGAGACCAATAAAAACATGAATAAAGACAAGAGTTGTCTAATGGGTTTAAGTGCTGTGGAGGCAGAGGAAACAGAATAGAGAATTCTTTGATTTTTAAAGAAACTGGTTCCTTGCTCTAATACACATCAAATATTTTTTATGGCTTGTCATTTGCTTTCTAATTTTATCCATGAAATTTTGGTCAATGCAGAAGTATTTTTATTTTTATGTGGTCACATTTACACATCTTTTCCTTTATATTTCTTATGCTTGGAAAGGTTTTCTCCATCCCAAGATTATAAAAGCATTTGCCCAAGGTTTTCTTCTGGTGCCTTATGGATTTACTTATTCCACTTAAGTCTTTAATCCATCTGGAATTGTTTTCAGTATAAAGAGCAAGGAAGGGATCCAGCTAAATTGGTTAGCCAGTTGGCCCATGACCGTTCATTAAATAATCCATCTTTTCCTTGGGGATTTGCATTGGCGCCCATAAAAAATATGAATTTTCCTGTGTATTTGGGTCTGCTTTTGAACTTTCAGTCTAGCCCTATGACAGACACATCAGTCATCCAAATCACAATAGCTTTGTGTTTATTTGTTTGTTTTTTATTTTTTTGAGTTGGAGTCTCACTCTGTCACCCAGACCGGAGTGCAGTGGCTGCTTCCGTCCACCGCAGCCTCGACCTGCTGGGCTCCGGCGATCCTTCCGCCTCAGCCTTCCAAGTAGCTGGAACTACAGGCGCGCGCTACCACGCCCGGCTGATTTTTGATTTATTGTAGAGATGAGGTCTCGCCAAGTTGCCCAGGCAGGTCACGAACCCGCGGGCTCAGGCCATCCACTCACCTCAGCCTCCCAAAGTGCTGGGATTACAGGCTGAGCCACCGAGCCCGGCTGTGTTTATTTTTTATATCTGGAAAGGTTGGCTCTTTGGGCAAATAATTTATTTTCTCTTGGCCTCAGCTTCCTCCTCTGGAAACAGGGATATCACCTTGAAGGGTTGTTCTGGGAATTAATGAATCAGTGGACCACTTTAGTTCCGGGGGCGTCAGTTAAGCCTCTTTGAGAAGGTAATATGAGAGCTGGACTCTGACCGGCAGGGAAGAGCATGGCTGGCCGGGAGAACAGCGAAAGCCAAGGCCCTGAGGCAGGGGCTAGTTTAACGAGTTTCAGGATCAGGCGGGAGTAGCGCTTCGGGAGGGGCTTGAGCCGGGGAGAGTGGAGTGGTGGGCCGCGGTGTCGGGTTGGGCCGCCCCCCG